TTGTCTCCTCTCCGATCTGATGATGGCGCCACGGGAATACCCCATCCCACACTGTTGCTGCTACTGTGCACAGTTTAGTATACAGCAACTTGCCTCAAAAAGGTGAAGAAAGCTCACACAGCCCTCACATCCCAGTTTTGAGGTGGCCACGTTATCGCCCATTTTCAGACATGGAAACAGGGACGGATTAAACAACCTGAACACGGTCACACAGGTCACTCTTTCTTCAGAGTGCAGCCGCTGCTTTTCCATCTGCCTCTCATTCATTCAAGTCACAGAAGGAACGGCTGGCCTGCTGTGGGTGGGGTCCGAGGAGCAGGGCCAGAGGGACCCCCACCCTCAGCACTCTGGCCCGGACCCGTCAGCTCGACACTCAGCACAGCCTGTTCTTCTATTACATCCCTGACTTCTTTCGAAAGAGAAGAAAAAACAGCCGAGTTTCTGCCGTGTGCCAGGCTGTCTGCCGGACAGCCTCCTCCAACCCTCACACCACGGGGCGGGGGGCATCGTGTCCATCTTACAGGTAAGGAAAAGGCGGCACAAGGAGGGGAAGGGGCTTGTCTCGGGGGCCGCTGTCGCCCCATCTCACAGAACTGCCCGGACTCACAGTCGCTTCTGCAACAAGAGTCCAAGCCCACTCCGTTTTCCTTACAGACAAAATCACCACCAGGCGCCAAGTCCCCATGGACATAAGCAGCTGTTCCCCAAAGGTTCTGTTTCGTGTTATTAACTCATTTAAAAGGAAATTTGGTTTCTAACCAGCACTAATGTCATGTCCACACTCAAGAATGGAGCAAAAATGAGTCTGGAAGTTGCGAGTGTTAGCGTCACTGGTCAGAACTGCGCTGGCCGGGTTCTGTCCCGGCCTTTAGGCAGAGCTTTCTGGGGTCCAGAGAGGGGCTCAGCCTCTGCTCTGTGCCCCCGGGAAGGGGCTGGGGAGCCCTCCTCCACTCGGTGCCCTCTGAGACGCGCAGCCGCTGCAGCAGACAGAGCCAAGGGCTGCAGAGGGGAGCGGGACGACAGGCAGCAGCTCGGCTTCCGGGGCCTGCCACCCGCTGCCTTCCCTGCCTTGGCCCCAGGTACGGGCACCCCCCATGCCCACTTCTGTTCTTTGAGCAAAGGGAGGCGCAGAGGTCGAGAGAAGTCCAGTGCTAAGCGCGAGCTCCGGGCAGTGTGGGGCAGTGGGCCGGGCTGGGGCTGCGGGCTGCTGCTGGCCACTGCCCAGGGCCTGGCAGGCCGGTCAAGGAGCCAGGTCTGCACCCGAGGGGCAGTGGGAGAGCCACGGAGGGCTCCAGGCAGGGCAGGGCCAGGCCAGAGCAGCTTGGGGCAGTGTCGAGGTGAGAGAGGTGAGGAGAGGGGCAAGGCCAGGCCAGCATGGGGAGCAGAGGGAAACGGTCTGAGAGAACTGCCCAGCGTGTGACCCGATGAGGTTTTATGATGTCAGTGGAACCAATCTCCTCTTTACAAATAACTGCTTACTGGCAACACAATTCCCTTCTCGCAGAGCCAAACGCTGGGGTTCCAAGGAGCAGCAAAGACACACAGGGTTTGTCCGCCGTCCAACACTGACCTCGGCTTTCTGGAATGCCTGCTTCTTCAGAGCAGCGATCAGCATCCAGACCAAGGCCAGAGGGCCAAGCTCCTGAAGCCACGAGCGGTACCTTCCCTGAACTGCAACTCGTCACAGGGCCGGGGGGGGAGCAGGGGGGGCCTTCCACCTCCGGCGGCCCGTCTGGCCGTCTCCTGCTGGAGGCCCACAGAGCCTCCACGGCACCAGGGTTACGTCTTCATCTGGACCTTGGCCCGCGCCTGAAGGCCCCACGCGCAGAGCCCTTCGCCATGCGGCCTCCTTGTGGCCACTGGCTGCCACGCAGGCTCCACGAAGGTGCTGTCTCAGGCGCCGGGGAGACAACAGCCACAGTCAGCGGGAACTCAGCACCTCAGGCACAACGAAAACTCTTGATTTCCCCCAACCGACATGTGAGAAAATTAAAGCGCAAAGAGAAGGGGAGCCAGCCCAACGTGAGAGCAAGGGAGGGTGCAGGCAGGACACCACCCAGGCAGGCAGACCGGGCCCACGCTGCCACTCACGCTGCGGCTCACTGGACCGGCCAGCTCGGCCTGGACAGATGCCAGGCTCCAGGCAGGCCTCCCCGGCCATGGCTGCAGACGCACACTCAGGCCGGACAGGCCGCGTGGGGACAGCGCCCCTCCGACAGACCTCGCCGGGCCGTCCAGCGCCAGGAGTCACCCAGGCCCCCTGTCCACTCGCCGCGGAGCCAAGGGGCCAGGCTGCAGCTTGCACGCGACACATGGCGGTGAGCTTCAGGCCGCAAAGCCGTTGTTGCACGACTCGCCGACTGCTCATCAAACTGGCCCCGTCACCGGCAGCAGGCAGCTCGGCCCCGCGCTCGCTCGCACTTAGCTTGCTCTCCGCCAGTCTCAGCGCTTCTGCCTGGCTTCGCCGACCCTGAGACGGAGCCCTTGCGGAAATCAGCAGAAGCCACGGCCAGGCACCCCGGTCCCGGGTCCCTGCTGTCGGAAGGGCTCCCTCGGCAACGGCCTCCACACAGAGAAGCTCCCGCACCTCCCCCGCAGGCTCACGCATCCTGTACTCGGTGGGCCACAGGTGAGCGGCCACGAAGCCCCAGGCGCCGGGGTGACACAGGAGCCTCAGGAGACGGAACCTCAGAACCGAGTGAGTGTTACCCTCTTCCTTCTGGCCTGGTGCTCCCAAAGACTTTGGGGAACCTGGGGGGAGGCCACCTGGGTAGGTGAGTGGCAGGGACAGACCGTGAGGAAAGGAACTGAAGACAAACAGAACTGCAAAGAAATGTTCAGCTTTAACCAGCACTCTGGTTAGCAGTAACGCTGATGCTGTTTAAAATTTTAATGGGGTAATGCAAAAAATCAAGTAGTTCATGCTGTTGGACACCAAAATTATCAGTGTAAAAATATGCATATGAAATTCGAGGGAGTTAACAGCCTGTGACGCTGGATTTGGGTCAGAAAGGATGCTATTATGGTAGGTTTCCACAAGATGACGTGGTGTAACAGAAGCCCTCGGTCTCACTCACCACAATGAGCTCGTGCCCCTGGCCATAAGTGACCACAGTCTCGCTGATCCCGGGGGGTTGGGGGGGCGGGCTGTGAGGGGTCAACCAGGTCCGGCTGGAACTCAGCCTTTGGGTGAGGCTCAGGTCACCCACCGTAGTGTCGCCTTGGCTCAGGCCAAACAAGCCACAGCTACCGGCACAGGGACGTCGAGGCAGTCACGACTCGTGCCCCCAGGGCGCCTCCGGCTCCCGCCCACCATCGGCCCAGACTGCACCCCCATCCCCCGGCACACACAGACACAGCTTCAGGTTCAGGGGTGTTCCCAGTGCGGCTCAGACAGAGGCTCAAGATGCAAATATCCAAACTGCTCCCAGTCAGAGCTAAGCTGGGCACGATCAGAAGTGGCACCAGCTGAGAACTCAGGTGACGATCACACAACTGCTCCCCGGAAAGGCTCCAACTGGCAGTGGGCTTCTTTTTAAAAATGAGGAGCGGCAGGTATTCCACGACGGACGCGAACTGAGTGGGAGGCAGCCAATTCAAAGAAGCAAAGTGCTGCTCCTCAAAACAAAACGCCAATATGTGCACACACACGCACCATCACACTCACACCGCTGACGTAAACAAATCGTCGCCACATCTCCATACAAGTACTGGGCACAGCTACAATACTGCTTCCTCCTGTTCAGCTGCAGGGCTGACTCCGGCTCCCGGAGTCCGGCTTTCTATAAAGGGAGGCCGCTTTATTCAAAGTCTCAACAGGGGCGATTCTGTCAGGGAGGGCATTAGGCTAAGAGCACCCAGAACTCACACCATGGTGCCAGCAGACCCCATCTGCCATGCCTACCCCCCTCTCCCTGCACTCCACTCACAGCGCTGGTCCCCTCCCCCCTGCACGCTGTACCAGCCACACGCTCCTGGCCTCAGACGCCTGGGCCAGAGCGGGACATGTGACACGCTGGGCTGAACGAGTCGCTGGTGGCCATCCAGAACAGTGGCCTCAATGGGGATCAGTGGCTGGACCACACAGACAGGCAGGAAAGGCGGCAGAGGGAGGGGAGAGAAAGCAGAGGCAAGTGTCCGGGCCCTGAACCCCTGCCCACGGATTCTGGGAAGGGCCCTTTCTCCGCCTAGTTAATCCCTCTTCTGCCTATTCAGCTCCTTTGAAAACGGACCTCTCTTACTCCTAACAAAAAACAACCATGACTAAAAGAACCAGGAAACCCCGTTATCAGCAAGTTACTAAACATTTTTCTTTAAAGACCCAAATCAACTTTTCTCTTTCTTGACTATGCCGTTTCCAGAAGTGCACATATTTCAGTGTGATTATGTGTGCTGCGGTGGCAACTAGTTCCCAAACACAGAAGGTGGGCAGCACTCAGCGCGTGGGGTCCACAAAGAGCGAGCTCTCTAGGGACCCTCCCTTCACCCCTCTTCTGGGGGCCCGGCTCAGGCCTGGAGGCTGCTCCGGGCCCCACCCCGGCCCTGGAGCATGGGCCCGGCGCAGGGACATTCTCTGATGAACCCCGACAGCCGGCGCCCGACACCAGCATGTGGAGGAGGGGGAGGCCCTGCGTGCTCGCTAATGGGCGTGAGAGTCAGTAATGGGCATTTGGAAACGTGGAGAGAGGAACGCTGCGGGGGCTGGCCAGACGCTCTTCCCAGCCACGGCGTCGGAAGGAGAGGACAAAGGACAAGGTACAGACCTCCGGCTGGATGGCTTTAAACACAGGTATGTCCATGAGCGTGATCTGGCTCTGCAACAGAGAAGAAGCGGGATTAGAACACACACAAGCCCGGCTACGGCCAGGTCGCTCTGAATCTACGGAGTAACAACACTCTTTAATACTGTATTACCCCTGGAAATAATCTATCGATAGACTAGAAAATCGGTTCCCTTTCTCAAGTGCCTCCTGTAAATCCTTTAAAAAAAAAAAAAAAGATTAATTTATTCATGCATACAAGAACTGAGGTGCAGGCAGAGATGGGGGTAAAAGGGTTCACCATATACAGAGTGGGGAGCAGAACAGGCGGAGCTACTGAAATCCACTGCTGAGGGGAACAGTGAGGAGACAGCAGGGGTCTGCTGCGCCACACGGGTCACTCCCTGGCAGGATCGAGCCCGTGCTGCAGCGGCCATGGATGGCTTGCAGTGCTGCACTCTAACCACGTGCGCCCCCAGGGAGGGCCCCCTCTTGTAACTCTTGACCCAACTCTTTTTTCTTGAGTATAAGGTGAACTTGCAATTTAAGAACCGGCAGTCTCAGCCCGGGAGGTGGTCCCAGACGAGGGGATCCCTTTCAGTAGGGATATTTTTATCCTATTTGAATTTTTATGTCAAGCATGAATTACTCTTGTTATTTTAAAAAGTTGTAAACACAATATAAAAATTCAGAATGCTAAACTATCTATTACTCTAAATTTAAATTTCTTTCAGTTGTGGCTTAGAGTGATTGCGTATTTCTTCTGAAGTCTGTGGCTCCTCTAAATGACACGGTGGAGGCCAGTCCGCGCTGCGCCGAGGCCCGCACTGGCCCACCAGCTGTTTACCCGACCAGCCACTGCGAGATAACTACAGACGAGGAGAGCACGCATGTGGAAACTTTTATAGCAAATGGCCATGATGTTCCTACTGTTTTTGAAAAGCTGGCGATGAGAAGAACCACGCCTGCACCACAGCTAGAGTGAGCAGCCCAAAGTCTTACTACAATCACAGAGGAGGAGGCTGCTCTCGTAGCGCCAAAGCGCACGTGGCCGGCGTAAGAGAAGCATCCCTGCCGGCAGGCGGACACGCTCCAGCTGGCACCGCCCCGGGCCTGCGCTGTCAGGCCGGGAATGGAGCCCTGGCCACTGGGCGGGCCACTGGGCCACAGTGGGCACTGGCATCCATGAGGCACAGGCTGTCTGGACACAGGGGCTTCACCGCAGTACTGTCTGACACGCGACCTGACCTCTCCCAGTCTCGGCGCCACCTCTAGGAAAGGGTGACCGCTCCCACCGTAAAGGCCCCTGTGAGGATTCAAGACGAGAACAGAGTAGCTGCCCCTGGGCGACGCACTCAGTGCGCACACGCTTACCCACAGGTGCATACTATGTGTTTCGGCACAAGAGAAGCCACGTACAAGGGCCCACGTTCCAACAACACACAAGCTTATTTGAAAGCCCATGTATCAAAGAATAAAGGTGGTAGCATCCGGTCAGCAAATATCGTCTTTAAAAAAAAAAACAGGTTCTTCAAAATCACTCGTCATAAGGGAGATGCAAATTAAAACCACAGTGAGATACCACCTCACCCCAGTGAGAATGGCACATCTTCAAACAACTAGCAACAACAAATGTTGGCGAGGATGTGGAGAAAAAGGAACTCTCCTGCACTGCTGGTGGGAATGCAAACTAGTACAACCACTATGGAAAACTGTCTGGAGGTTCCTCAAACTGCTAAACATGGAGCTTCCCTACGACCCAGCAATCCCACTCCTAGGTATCTACCCAAAAGACACAAAAACACTGATTGAAAAAGATACCTGCACCCCCATGTTTATTGCTGCTTTATTTACAATTGGAAAAACATGGAAGCAGCCCAAATGCCCAAAAGTAGATGACTGGATTAGAAAGATGTGGTACATATATACAATGGAATATTACTCAGCAACCAAAAAAGAGAAACACATGTCTTTTGTAGCAACTTGGATGGAGCTGGAAAAGATCATGCTTAGTGAGATAAGCCAGAAAGAGAAAGAAAAATACCGGATGGTTTCACTCATAGCAGGAGTATAATGGGCCAGGCGAGAAAATAACAAAAATAATGAACAACCATAGACCAGAGACATTTTGTGGCGGTGGAGTGGGGAATGGGATAAAAAACAGGGGGGGGGGGAAGGGAGGGAAATGCACGGGACTATGGTGGTGGCACAGGGGTGATTTGGTGATGGGAAACCCGCGGGGATTACAATCGAGATGGAAAAAAAATGTGCAAAATGATGTAAAAATAAACTTTTGTAATAAAAAAAAACAGGTTCATGTCATGAGTCCTCTGGAGAAAAATGGCAGCGCACGTCTGTCACCAGTGACTGGTCAGGGGCTTGGGTGCACACAGTGGCTGGTCACCTCTGGGCACAATGTAAAGCTGGCCCAAAGCTGCTGGACTCCCGAGAAGTGCAGGACTGAGGCCGAAGCGGACCAGGTAGGTGGGCGGGCGGCTCCAGGGGAGGCCTGCTGTCTCCTCCCAGGGGCAGGTGCTCTTTGTAGTTACAGAGGTGCCTCTGGGGGAGCTCCGCGGACGGCAGCATCAGGAATCGGGCGGCATGGGAAGCCTGGCTCCCCCACCCTGGCTCCCCCACCCCGGTCCCACCCGCAGGGGCACCGACAGCAGCAGAGTGGCTCAGCCTGAGCTGGGAGGGCGGAGAGTCCACCCGAAGGCGGGGCGCCTGGCCTCGAGCTACCTGGTGGAGAGACGTTCTGGGCAGAAGGGCCGACAGACTGGCACCTCTCCTGCCAGACCCGCCAAGTGCTCGTCACCTCAGGACTGATTCTGCCAACCTGGGGAACAGAGAGGCCTTGTAAAAACGGAAGGTTTGGGCTGAGAGCTCAGTGGGCCCTGGAACTCCCCTCTGGAGCACAGGCAGGAGTGTGCAAGGGCAGAGGCACGGAACCGGAAGTCTGCTAACGTGGAAATGGAACCGCTTCCGGTCCATCCTGCCCTTGAGGCCAGGGCTCGCCACTGAGTCCCCAGAAGATCTGCTAAAAGACTGACTTTACATTTCTTTTTGGCCCAAGTTTTGAACATTCTGACACTTGCTCAAACTAAAAGTTAGGAAAAGTGCTCAGGTGTTTTTACACTGGACAGCCGGTCCCAAGCTCGCAACTGAGGGCTTCCAGGAGAGCCTCTCCCGTTTCCAGCACTCAGCTGACCAGAACGCAGCGTCCCGAGCAAGAAACCTCTGGACACCGAGGTCAAGTCACGACACCACTAGAAAGACAGGCTCGGTGCGAGAGGCCGCTGCGTCCCAAACGGGGAGTGTGGGCACTCCCCCGCAGGCAGCTTTGCCAAAGTGGGGTGTGGGTGTCCTCCGGCCTGTCCCTTCTCACAGCTGGCGCTCAGTCCTGGAGAGCGGCCCTGCCCTCCCCGGGATGCACCTGGGTGCTGGACAGGAAGGGTCAGGACAGAGACTCGCTTCCAAAGCAGCAAAGACGGAGCGTGAGGCAACGGCGGAGCACGCAGTCACGGCCTCTGCTCACCCGTGGAAAGGAGTCTTCATGCACAATGTCCAGTTAAGCGTGCCACCTGGCGCTGTGTCCTGACCCTGACCCAGTTCTCATCTGATCCTTCCTCCTCGCCCAGGGGCCCTAAAATCCAGTCACTGGACAAGCGCCCACGTACCACAAAGTGGCCCTGCAGACATGAAGCCTGCAGCCCAGACAGACCTATAGGAGCAGTTTACCGTGTGGCCCCAAGGCAGCGGGGGGGGGGGGGCCATGTGACTAAGTGACCAGGTGCCGTCCCCCAGGTCACAGCGTTTCATTTTGTTTGTGTTGGAGGCAGCACTTCTCCCCTCTGGCGTGGCTGACTGGACCCGCCCTTTGCAGCCCCACCTTAGCGCAGGGCTCCCCCAGCCCCCAACCAAAGCAGCCTGACAACCAGGCGAGTCTCGTACAAGGCGTCTTTCCACCTGCGTTGAGGTGGCTCCACCGAGGCAGGCTGGGAGAGCTGGGGACGAGTGACAGCTCTGTGGACTCCTACTTGCCTCTGCGCCCCAAGCCATAGGCCACGGGGCGCCCAGGCCCCAATTTCAGACCTGCAGTCAGCCGTGCACATGAGCCAGAGGGACAGCAGTCGCCATCCGCCCGGGCCAGCAGGGCAGGGTGCTGCCACGGCTCTGCTCCTGGGAAGGGGTCTAGCCCAGGAAGAGTCTGACTTTCCATCTTTAAAAAACGCCAGACTTGCCAGAAACCTGCAGCGAGCTCTATACCGCTCACTCAGCACCACTCATTTCATTCGCTTCATCGCTAATTTGCAGGATACATATTTTCTGAACCATCAGAAAACGCCAATATTGCAACTTTTCACCATAAATACTTGTGATTTGCTAAGCTCATCATCTTAAAGAATGGTGAAATTACTACGAAGTTGCTACATTCAGGTCGAGCACTGGTACAGTGGCGTTCCCTCCGGTCTGGTCCACTTCTTGCTAGTTATCCAAATACTGTTTTTTATAGCGACTTTATCTTGATCCAGGATCATGTCTGGTATTTAGATAACGTCTCCTGGAAAGTGCAGTGAGCACACCATTGTGCCACAGAAGCAAAGGACGGCTGTCAGGAGCGCCACCAGCAGGCGTGTCACACAGACAGCTACCTGGAGATACAGGTGTAAATGGAGGTGCTTACTATGTCCTTATTTATAGCAGCAAAAATCTATGCTTGACCTTAATGGCCAACTAAGGGATTTGTTGACCAAAATTATGGTACATCCGGGCTTGAGAATATTACGCAGACATTTGAAACAGTGAATTCAACCTACACTTACTGACCTGGAAGGATGTCCATGGTCCAGCTGAAAAAGACAAGCCCAGCAGTCTTGCCCTCTTTCAGTCGCTGAAGAAGACTGAGGCCTGGCTGTGGGGCACTCCCCGTAAACCAGTGAGGACCTTTTAAATCCCTTTTTACTGTCAAGTAGCACACATTTAGTGAAAGCAACTTTCAGTGGTAGGTAAATGCCCGGTCGCTCAGCTTATTGTACATGAACACAATGTAGCCA